AGGAGGAGGAGGAGGAGGAGGAGGAGGAGGAAGAGGAGGAGGAAGAGGAGGAGGAGGAGGAGGAGGAGGACGAGAGGAAGGAGGAGAGGAGGAGGGAGGAGGAGGAGGAGGAGGAGAGGAGGAGGAGGAGGAGGAGGTAGGTGGAGAAGAGGAGCGAACGAGGAGGAGGAGGAGGACGAGGAGGAGGAGGAGGAGGAGGAGGAGGAGGAGGAGGAGGGGAGAGCAGGAGGAGGAGGAGGGGAGAGGAGGAGGAGGAGGAGGAGGAGGAGGAGGAGGAGGAGGAGGAGGAGGAGGAGGAGGGAAGGAAGGAAGGAAGGAAGGAAGGAAGGAAGGAAGGAAGGAAGGAAGGAAGGAAGGAAGGAAGGAAGGAAGGAAGGAAGGAGGAGGGAGGAGGGAGCTGGATGACGAGGACGTGTGGTTTTCGGCCTCCTCGGGCCTCTTGGGTGCGAGGAATACCCCAAAGATTTTCGAACCACGACATTCGCAAATTGACAAAAAAAAAAAAAAACGGAGGTGCTCTCAGACTCCGACCACCCCGTCCGTTGCGAGGTACCCAAGACGGCCCATGAGAGCCCAAAAACAGCCCGATAGAGCCGCCCCGGGCGTCCGGCGGGGCCCGCGACCCCGCCCCCTCCCCAGACGGCCCGAGATGCCCCAAAGACGGCCCAAGTGATCCTCAAGACAGCCTTAGCGAGGCCCACGACGGCCCCCAGACGCCCAAGAGCGCCCCGAGAGGGCCAGAGATGGCTTGAAAATGGCCGAAGAGGGCCCCAAGAGGACCTTCAAGAGGCAAGCGTCGGCCTATTCCCTTCGTAGGACGAACATTTCCAGCATATTCGCTTGCTTCGTCTTCGCAGTGCCCCTGACGACCCCGGGGAGCCCCAAGACGGCCCAAGAGGGACACGAGATGGCCCATGAGATCTACAAGCCAGCCCGAGAGAGACCCAAAAGGCACCCAACAGAGCCACAACAGGGGCCAGAAGAGCTGCCTAAAGATGATCGGGGGCCTCTTCCGCAGCGTCCGAGATCACGTTCCCAGAGGCCTTTCTGGGAACATGATTTCCGGGTTCCCAGGGCGCCCAAGAGGGCCCTAAGACGGCCCCAGGAAGTCCTAAGAGGGCGTCCAAAAAAGGCTCAGAGCGACACGGTTCGTTGATTTGCGCGACATGTTGTTGGACTTCTTGCACGCGGACGAGGAGGAGGAAAAGGAGCAGGAGGAGGAGGACGAGGAGGATGGGAGGGAGACCTAGGAAGAGGAGGAGGAGGAAGAGGAGACCGATGAGGAGGAGGAGGAGGAGGAGGAGGAAGAGGAGGAGGAAGGGGAGGGAGGAGGAGCGGGGGGGGGGGGGATGAGGGGGGGGGGACAAGAGGGGGGAGGGGGGGAGGACAGGAGGAGGGGAGGGGGGAGGAGGAGAGAGGCGGAGGAGAAAGAGGAGGAGGAGGAGGAGGAGGAAGAAGAGGAAGAAGACGAAGAGGGAGGAGGAGGAGGGGAGGGAGGAGCGGGTGGGGGGGAGGGGGGGACAAGAGGGGGACGGGGGAGGAGCAGGAGGAGGGAGGGGAGGGGAGGAGGCGGGGAGGAGGAGGAGGGAGGAGGAGGAGGAGAAGGAGGAGGAGGATGAGGAGGAGGAGGAGGAGGAGGAGGAGAGGAGAGAGGGACGTTGAGGAGAATGGGGGAAGAGGAGAAGAGGAGGGGGAGGAGGAGGAGGAGGAGGAGGAGGAGGAGGGGAGGAGGAGGAGGAGGAGGAGGAAGAGGAGGAGGAGGAAGGGGAAAAGGGATGCCTCCTCCGAGTGGTCCCTTCATCCGATGTGGCCCCGTACTTGCGCGGCGTTGCGATGCCGTCTGGTGAGCCATGTAGGCTGGACAGGAGGAGGACGGGGAAGAGGAGCAGGAGGAGGAGGAGGAGGAGGAGGAGGAGGAGGAGGAGGCGAGGAGGAGGAAGACGAGGAGGAGGAGAAGAGGAGGAGGAGGAGGAGGAAGAAGAAGAGGAGGAAAAAGAAGAGGGAGGAGGAGGAGGAGGGGAGGAGGAGGAGGAGGAGGAGGAGGAGGAGGAGGAGGAGGAGGAGGAGGAGGATGGGGAGGGGAGGGAGGAGGAGGAGGAGGAGGAGGAGGAGGAGGAGGAGAAGCAACAGGAGGAGGGACAGAGAAGGGGAGGAGGAGGAGGAGGAGGAGGCGGAGGAGGAGGAAGGAGGTGGAGGTAGGAGGAGGAGACGAGGAGGACGAGCAGGAAAGGAGGAGGACCGAACAGGAGGAGGAGGACGAGGAGGAGGAGGAGGAGGAGGGAGGAGGAGGAGGAGGGAGGATGGAGAGGAGGATGAGGAGGGAGGGAGGAGGAGGAGGAGGAAGAGGACGGAGGAGGCGGGGGGAGGAGGAAGAGAAGGAGGAGGAGGAGACGAGGAGGAGGACGACGAGGAGACGAGGAGGGGGGGAGGAGGAGTGGTGGGGGAGGGAGGACGAGGAATAATTTGATGAGCAGGGTGATGATGCTGATGATGATGATGAGGAGGAGGAGGAGGAAGAGGAAGAGGAAGAGGAAGAGGAAGAGAAAGAGGAGGAGGATGAGGAGGAGGAGCGGATGATGAGGATGATGATGATGAAGATGATGATGATGATGATGATGATGATGATGATGATGATGATGGTCACGCTGATGCTGATGCTGATGATGATGGTGATGATGACGAGGAGGAGGAGGAGCGAAGGAGGAGGAGGATGAGGAGGAGGAGCGGAGGATGATGAGGAGGAGGAGGAGGAGGACGGGAGGAGGAGGATGAGAAAGGAGGAAAAGGAGGGGACAAAGAGGGGAGGAGGAAACGTAGGAGGGAAGGAGGAGGTGGGGGGGATAGAGGAAGGCGAGGAAGGGGTGTCGTTTTCGGCCTCCTCGGGCCGACTGGGGGCGAGGAGCGCCCAGAAGTTTTTCGAACCGCAACCCACGAAACTCGACGACAAACTGAAGTGCCTTCAGCCTTCGACCCCCCCATTCCCTGATTTGGCCGTTGCCCTGGACTAAGCTAAAACCGAAGCGCGCCCGCATCGCGCGCGTGGTTCTACTATATGTATATGTATGTGTACATGTGTATAGATCTGCGTATGTATATATACATCTATACATACATACACAAAAGGTATAGTTATACATGCATGCACACACACATATATTTGTATAAGCTTGCTGATTAATGATATGCTGAAGACCGAAACACGCCGTCAACACCGATCCGTAGTTTTTCCTGGCTCGAGCCCCCCCCTCCCCGGGGGGCAGGGGGGAAACGGGCCAGGGGCCCTTGATGCTGGGGCAGCTTGCCCGGGCCGCCGTGCTGGGGGTGGCCAGCCTGGGCGGCGCGTGGCTGGGGAGGTGCCGGTCGCCGCCGTGCCCGGCATCGCCGCCCCGCCCGCCGGCGGCGACTTGCACGTGTCCGCCAGCGCCGGCGGTCTCGCGCCCGCAGGTGAGCGTCACCTGCCCGGCGGAGCCAGCCGCGGAGGCCCGTGCCTGCCCCCAGGCGCCGGCGGCACCGGTGTGCCCGCCGCCGCCCGAGAGCCCGCAGGGCACGTCCAAGGCGGAGGTCGCCGAGTCGCCAGGCCGGCAGGACCTGTCGCCGGATGGTAACATGTACCTCGGGGATTTCAACGACGCCGTGGCCGTGCGATGTCTGGGGCCGAACCACGAGGTGCCGGAGAGGGTACCTCGGAACCTGATCTATCACTTCGGTCAGCCCCCGTCGGCGGGGACGCTGCGCAAACGGATGCAGGAGGGAGCCTACGCCGCCGGGCTTGAGGACCGGCGCCGCGGTTACGGCATCGCCGTGTGGGGAGCTGGAGGCGCCGCTGGGGCCGCGAGCGCCGCTGGCGCCAAGCCGGCCGCGGCCCAGGCCGGCGGCGCTGGCCGTGTGGCGGCGGGAGCGCCCGCCTACGTGCCGGCCCAGCCGCCCGCGCCGGGGGCTCCCGGCGAGGGCGAGGACGGTGTGCCGGGCCCGGCGGCGCTCCAGGGCCACAAGTGCGTCGGCCGCGACGTCCGCCCGCCAGCGGGGCCGACGGTGCAGCCGGTGACGGTCGACACGGTGCGCTGGGTGGCGGCCGCGAGCGTGGTGTACCCTGGAGGCAGCGTGGATCGAGGGGACGACGAGGCGATCAACGGTTTGGAGATGGTGTCGGTCCGCAAGGGAGTGATCGTGCTGATGGGGGTATCCGTGCTGATGGGGGACGTCGGCGACGGCGGTGTGGAGGCGTACAGGTCGAGGGAGGCCCATCATGACGCGAGGATGCTGAAGATGCAGAGGGACTCTCGAGGTGGCGGCCACCGCCCCTGGCGCGACGTCACGCGCGGTGTGAGCGCGGTGAAGCAGACGGACTGGCCCTCGCCGGGCCCGCAGACGACGGAGTGGTGCACAAGGTTCCTTGACCGTCGGAGTGAGGGGCCCGTGGGCTGGAGTCGGCGCTGGCGAGCCGACAGCAGGCTGGCCGTGGACCAGTGGGGCGTATCCGAGCACGAGACGTTGGCGAAGGCCCTCGAGCGCTTGGGGGCCCCCGACCAGTATGACGAGGTGAACGTGGCGGCGGCGGAGTACATCGAGCGACGGATGCAGCTCATCGAGTGCTTCTACTACGAGGTCTGCCGGCAGGCAGACGGCAGCAAGCATCAGGACGAGAAGGGCGGCAAGAGCGTGCGCCTGGAGGAGATGGCTGACCTCTCCGCGAAGCCGCGCGAGGACGGAGAGGTGATGGTGGCGCCGGAGCTGCTGTCCTACGTCGCCAACGGGCCGGAGCGGGACTCTGGCATCAGGAAGCAGATGAGGGAAGCCCGCGAGGGACGGCGACTCGCGGGCAAGCATGACCAGTGAACGGGGCCGCCGTGGGAACCCCCGATCCCACGGCGAGTATGCAGGGGGGCCGCTGGACATGAGCCCCGGCGCGGCCTTTGTACGTGGCTCACACGAGGGCAGGGTCGTCAATCGTGATCTTCTTCCCTTGCCTCACTACCGCCTGCCGAGCATGGGCAGCGACGATGGCGGTCATCCAAAGTCTCGTCGGGGGCAGCGCCGCCGGGGGGGGCGAGCTCATTGCGAAGACTGGGCTCGCTGCTGCGCGATCACGCTGAACGAGCTCGACCGCGGGTCTGCTGATCCGCATCCTCAGGGACAGCGGGCCAGTGCCGGGCAGGAGCGCAGCTTGGGTATGATCCAGGCTGCGGTTGCTGAGCTCGGACGGCCGCCCGCCGACCTGACTCGCCAGGGAGCCCTCGCGGAGCTCCTGGCCAAGCGCAGCTACACCGGCGAGAAGGTGTCTGTCGCTCGGCTCGACATTTCTCTCTTGTCCCTGCCTGCTGGTGGGGACGGTCCTCGAGCGTTGACAACTTTGCTCGGGGACGAGGGCCCAATGGTAGTCGATGCTTGAGAGACAAAGTCTTGCCTCCATCGGAGGCGGCGGCGCGGGTGGCCGAGTCGGCCTTGAAGCGTCCGTACTACGATCCTTCGTTGCAGGGGAGGCCGCGCCGGCATGCGCGCCTCCTCGCGGCCCTTGACGGCGCAGGCGTGCTCGAGTGGAGGCGGCACGGATCGCCCCGAGTAGGCCTGTTTACTGTTTGGAAAAAGAACGGCAAGCAAAGATTGATTGTCGACGCTCGGTTGTCTAACTTGTGCTTCGCTTCTCCTGATTCTGTCGACCTTGCCACAGGCGGATCTTTCGCGTCCCTCGAGGTTGACCCTGGGCCCCCAGTGTGCCTTGCTCAGGTCGACATCCAGGATGCCTTTTACCACCTCCTCCTCCCTCCTGAGCTCGTCCCCTTTTTCTGTCTCCGCCCTGTCACCGCTGGGCTCGCCGGAGTCGTTGAGCTCGACGGCGCCCCTGTCTCTCCGACCCAGCTCGTGTACCCACACCTGCGTGTTGTGCCGATGGGGTGGAATCACGCCTTGTGGTGGTGTCAGCGAATTCATGAATTTCATGCCTCTCGGCAGCCCGGCGTGTCCCTCTCTAACAAGCTCTCGGATAAGAAACCCGGGGTGCGTCTGGGCCGCTCGGGGTTTGCTCACACTGAATACGTAGACAACTTCGCGGCCATCGGGCGCCAGGCCAAGGAGGTCGACGCTGTGGCCGATTCCGTTCTAGACGCCCTGACCGCCGCTGGGCTCAGCATGCATCCTCGCGAGAGCTCAGTCGGCGGGTCCGTCTTGGGATGGGGATTCAGTGACGAGCGCCCTCAGGTTCGTGTGAGCCCTCGCAGAGCGTGGAGGCCCCGACTCGGCATTGAGGGGCTCCTAGAGAAGGGCTTTGCTACAGGCAGGGACCTCGAGGCCATCATAGGACATTTCACGTTCGCCGCTCGAATTCGACCAGAGGCCCTGTGCGTGTTCTCTGCTGCGTACGCCTTCAGTCAGCGGGGGGCCGACACTCGCCGTAGGTTGTGGACTGCCGTGCGAAGGGAGCTTCGTTGGGCAATAGGTCTCCTCCCCCTCCTCCGTCGTCGCCTCGATGCCGATTGGAGCTCAAAGGTGCGGTGTACAGACGCCTCCCCCTGGGGTCGTGGTGTTTGCTTGGCTGAGCGTGACCCTCAGTCCATCGCGGAGGCTGGCCGGTGGTCGGACCGGTGGCGCTTCTCGCGAGGGGCCGAGGATCGCGTTCGGCCGAGAGACGCCTCGCTCCGGGAGGAGCTGAACTTAGCCGCGGCGGCCGGTCTGGACGACCTGGATCGCGTCGGGACGGCTCGGCACCTGGAAGCCCTCGGTGGGGTGGATCGGAGCGGGGCCGTCCCGGAGATCGGGCCCGAAATCCTTCAGGGATCCTGGGCCACCGTTTCGGCCGGTCGCTGGAAGCGTCGGGAGGCGATGCCCATCTTGGAAGGGCGCGCTCTGGTCTGGGGGGTCCGGCATGTGAGCCGGGGTTTAAGCGAGTTTGGCAAGCGGATCCTTTTTCTGATCGACGGGTTGTCCGAGGTCCTGGCCCTTGAGAAGGGCCGATCGTCGAGCGTGGCCCTGATGAGAGTGTGCAGGCAGTGGGCGGCGACGGTGTTTGCGGCCGATCTGTATCCTCGGGTTCGGTGGATTCGGTCTGAGTTGAATGTGGCCGACGAGCCTTCTCGTCGCTATCAGCCGAAGCCATTTGGGCTCAAACCTGGGTGCTTTCGGCCTCCGCCAGGTCTGCCTGAGCCGGATGGCGACCGGCCTCCCGCGGCCACTCGCAGGTGCCCCGATCCCGTCGGCCCCGTGGGATGCGGCCCTGGCGACCGACAGCCTGGCGAGGCCGGGCGGGGCTGCGGAGCGGCGACCCGTCCAGGGCGAGCCGCCGACCCTGTGGCGAGCGGCGGCGCTGTCACAGGCTGGCGCGCGACCGCGCCCACCCCATGGGCGGGCCCGGGCAAAGGCAGCGGCGAGACAAGCCAAGCCTCGGCCCGAGGAGCTGGCCACGAGGGGGGAGCGCGCCGCTGCCCGGCAAGCGAATTTCCCCGTGGACAAGCGAGCGACAGTCAGCGAGGGCCTCTCGCTGCTCGAGAGGGAGAGCGCGGGCGACCACGACCAGCGGGTCTGCCAGTCGGCGCTCGCGGAGTTCAGGATCTTCTCCGAGACCCTGGGCCTGCGCCTCGAGACCGCTCAGGACTACGACGAGGCAGCCGTGGAGTGGACCTACCTCGCTGTCTTCGACGGCAGCGACGCGCTGGAGGGGACAAGGCTCAAGGCGCTGCTGCTGCCACCCGCGGCTCCTGTCCGCGGCTGGGCTGCCCCAGTTCAGCCGGGCGCTGAGGGGGTGGAGGCGGCTGGGGTCGCCGCGGAGCCAGCTGCCGCTGCCGGGGGAGGTTGCCTGCGCGGTGGCACACAGGCTCGCGGCAAACCAGGACCTGCACGCCGCCCGCCTCGTCTTCGTGAGTTTCGTGTTCGGCCTGCAGCCCGCGGAGCTGATGTCGCTGACCGGGCGGCAAGTGGCGCCGCCGGCGCGGGCGGCCGGCCACGCCGCGTGGTCGCTCGTGCTGTTTCCGATGGAGGAGGAGACGCCCAGCAAGGACGGCGCCTTCAACGGGAGCGTGCTGGGCGACCTGCCGTTCTGCCACCTCATCGGGGACGTGCTGAAGCCGCTCGAGGCCGGCGTCAACGACAGGGACCTCATGGCGCAGGTGCGGTACGCACACCTGGCGCAGGCGTTCGGCACGGCGGACCAGCGGCTCGGCCTCGAGAGCCCGCCGCGCCTGTACCTGCTGCGGCGCGGCGGAGCGCCCGTCGACCTGGCCAGCTACCGCCGCAGCATCGCGGAGGTGAGGGCTCGCAGCCGCTGGGCAAGCGACAGCTCGGCGACGGGGTACGGCAAAGGGGGCCGCGTCGCCGGCCAGCTGACCAAGTTGCCACCGCCGTTCCTCGACCACGCCATCGTCCGCGCCAAGAAGAATGGCGGCATCCCCTGCGAGCACTGCCGGCCTTTGCCGCCCGTGCGGGCGGGGCCGTAGCGCTCGAAGTGTTCAGCGGCTCCGGCAATTTCAGCCGGGCCTGGCGACGGCGGCAGCGCGCTCTGGGCGATGCTATTTTCGAGTGGGACATCCGCTGGGGAGACGAGTATGACCTCACTCGCCAGCGGGCGCAGCGCCTGGTGCGAGGCTGGGTCAACAACGGGCTAATTGCTGCCGTCTGGCTGGGCACCCCTTGCCACAGCTGGAGCCGAGCACGGGACATTCGACCAGGGCCCCCGCCCTTGCGAAGTGACCTGCACGTGATGGGGTTGCCCGACCTTGCGCCCCGTGACGCTGAGAAGGTTAGGATCGGCAACGCCCTCATGAAGTTTTCAGCCTCGCGATTTTCTTTGTGCCAAGCCGTGCGCGTGCCAGTAGCAATTGAGAATCCTCACATGTCTAGAATTTGGCTGACGTCTCAATTCAGGAGATTGCAAAGAAATGCCGAAAGCGCACTCGCATCATATACGATCATGTGGACCTCCAACCTTTACATCGCCTCTGTCGTGGCCCCCGCGGGATCTGCTCCCGCACGGGCCGCCCTCATGATCAGTTGCAGGGCAAAAACGCAGACGGCATTTTTCACACGCTCTTGGCCGAAGCTTACCCAGCTGATTTGCGCACTAGCATCGTCCGTTGCTTCCAGCTGGCGCTTGCGGAAAAGAAGGTTCAGCGAGTACAGACAATTTGGTGCGGCTGAAGCCAGTGGCGTTTTTGGAGAGAAGTCGTTCTGTGCAAAAAGAGTTGGTGCCCGCTCAGCTTTGAAGTTAAGCGTTGCCTCGAGCTCGAGTCTGTTTGATCTGTGATTGCAAAGTCGGAAGACTTGTCGACACCAGAGATAGCATCGCTTCGCACGCCTGGCGGAAAATGGACTGGGCGTTTCATTTGTATAAGCTTGCTGATTAATGATATGCTGAAGACCGAAACACGCCGTCAACACCGATCCGTAGTTTTTCCTGGCCAACCGTCTGCCCCACCGCCGCCCTCTCCTTTTTTAAATTGCAGATCGAACCAAGTGATCAGGTGCCCGCTCAGCTTTGAAGTTAAGCGTTGCCTCGAGCTCGAGTCTGTTTGATCTGTGATTGCAAAGTCGGAAGACTTGTCGACACCAGAGATAGCATCGCTTCGCACGCCTGGCGGAAAATGGACTGGGCGTTTCATATATATATATATATATACATATATATATATATATATATATATATATATATTCTGCATGTATATATATATATATACAGATGAATACCGCCTCCCGGTCCCGGGTGCCACGCCTCCCCGCGGCATCTGGGGAACGTTCCCGGCACCGCTCCCCCGGGCCCAAGACGATTCCAGGGAGCCCCCCAGGATGCGAAAGGATGGTCCAAGACGCCCCCAAGCAGCCCAAGTCAGCCTCCCGACGGCTCTCGAGGCTCCCAGGTGACCTCCAAGAGACCCCGAGAGAGGTCCGAGAGACGTCCCAGGACGGCCCGAAAAGGCCAACATCGCAACTGTGTTATCAATGTTTTTGGCTTCTCGCGTTTTCGAGCTTCCAGCGCTCCAAGAGCGCCGAAGAGGCTCCCATCACCGCCCCAAAACCACCCAAGAGACCCTCAGGACGGCCCCAAGACGAACCAAGAAGGCTCCAAGACTGCCGAAGAGGCGCCCAGGACAGCCCCAGACCACCCCAGAACAGGTCCAAGATGGGCCCAAGAGCGGGAGCAGGACGCTTCCAGAGACCTCCTGCCTCCGGGACCCCCCAGATGCCCCCAACACACCTCCGATCCTTGAGAGGCCCCCGAAAGACCCCGACGAGGCTCCAAGAACAGCCCAAAAGAGCTGCGAGAGCCTCCCCGAGAGAGCCCAAAGAGGGTAAAATCGTTGATTTCCAATGGTTTTTCCCATGTTCTTCGCCTTCTCACGTTTTGCCGCTTCCAACCCTGGAAGATCGAGGAATTTGAAACAAAAAATTCAATTCCCAGAATTCCTTTTTTTTTTTTTCAAAGCGGGACTCCTACTCGGGGGCCTTACACATTCCCTGACATCTGGCCGGTACCGCGCCTCCCATCTTCCCGGGGGGAGACCCCAAGACGCCGAATGACAGCCCATGACGACCCCAAGGAACCTCCAGAACGTACAGACCGGCCTAACACGCTCCCAACCAGTCCAAAACACCCTCCCGACGGTCCGGGAGGCGTCCTGGGACGGCCCGAAGAGGCCAACATCGTAGATTTTCATGTGTTTGTTTTGTGTCTTTGGCCTTCTTGCGTTTTCGAGTTTCCAACGCTCCAAGAGCGCCGAACGAAGAGCCTCCCATCACCGCCCCAAAACCACCCACGAGACCCTCAGGAGGGCCCCAAGATGCGCCAAGAAGGCTCCAAGACTGCCGAAGAGGCGCCCAGGACAGCCCCAGACCACCCCAGAACAGGTCCAAGATGGGCCCAAGAGCGGGAGCAGGAGACTTCGAGAGATCTCCGAGATGCCTCCGGGACCCCCAGAGGTTCCCAACACACTTCCGATACCTGAGAGGCCCCCAAAAGACCCCGACGAGGCTCCAAGAACAGCCCAAAAGAGCTGAGCGAGAGCCGTCCCGAGAAAGCCCAAAGAGGGTAAAATCGTCGATTGCCAATGGTTTATCTATGCGTTTCGCCTTCTCACGCCTTCCCGCTTCCAACCGTCGAAGATCGAGGATTTTGATAGAAAAATTAAGGAATTCCCAGAATTCCTGTTCTTTGAAAGTGGGACTCCTACTCGCAGATCCCACACATCCCCTGACATCTGGCAGGTACCGCGGCTCCTGGCTTCCCGGGGGGCCCCCAAGACGCCCAAGGACAACCCAAGACGACCCCAAGGAGCCCCCAGAACGTAAAGCACGGCCCAACACGCTCCCGCGCAGCCCGAGACACCGTTCCGACAGCTCTCCAGGCTTCCAGGAGGCCTCCAGAACCCACAGGAGGTCCGGAAGATCCCACACCCCTGAGGGGCCCGGCTGACAAAACCCGCGAGGCATAAACAAAAAAACAGTGCCGAACAGCGCCGAAGAATTGGGAAAACATGGAAATCCCACAATTCTTTCTTTTTTTACAAGTTTGGCCCCCGGCCTACTCTTGCACAACAGACCACAATTCAGACCATCAACACCTCCCCTAAATGAACCCATGAAGCCTTTGAGGGTCCCAAATCGTTGAATACCTAAAGAAAATCAATGATATTTCTGCGTTCCCGCACCTCCCCTTCTATACGATTCCGAGGCTTGCGCAGGGCCTCCAAGGGAGTCCCTGGACGCCAGAAGCGACCACAATGAGAATACATGAGTTAGTCGATCAACCCTAGCTAGAAATTGAGCGCGCGCGATGGTTCTAGTATACACATATATGTATGGATAGATCGGAGTCTGGTCGTTTAGCGTTGTAAGACACATGCCAGCGTCCAAGTTGCTCATTAGCCTGGGCAGGGTCCGCTCGACGTGCCATGGCACCCCCACTCTGGGTTCTGGGCCCTGGGCCTGCGGGAATTCCAGCGACCACGGTCCGAGGCTGGGATTTTAACCACTCCACTAATCCGGTCTTCTTGGGCCTCGCGAGGCGGTGGCTGCAGCCACCGCCTCGCGAGGCCCACATGTGGACCGCTCCCTGGGGTCCCAAGGCACTGGTTCCCCGGGCGGTGGATGTGGTTCGATCCCCGCCTCGCTCACGGTGCTGGTGCCGCGTTCGCTGGCGTCCCATCTTGGGCGACGAGCTTAACCGGCTCCGATCTGTCGGTTAAGGACCGAGCCCCAGACGTGCGACGTCTTGATTTTTTCAGGACGGCGCCCCTGGAAGTCCCGACCCTCTCCCCGGGACGGGTTTTTCGTCCTGAATCGTTTCCTGACGGTCCCGAGGCCCGGCGAGGGCCCCCCGGGGCCGAAAACAGCCAAAAGTTTCCCGTCCTGATTTTCCTACGACGCGATCATGTCTGGGTGCCGGTCATGGACCGATCCGTAGACTGATCGGGAACGGGATCCGGGCGGTCGGTCGGCCCGGCGAGCGGCCTGGCGGTTCCGCGCCTCGGGAGGCGGGCCGGCTCGGGATCGGCCAGCGGTTCCGCCCGGATGGGGGCGGCGTCTCCGAGGTGACGAGCCTCCCCGGTTGCCGCCGAAGCCGAAGCCGAAGCCCGCTGGCGCGAGCGAGAAGGCCACGGACGACGCGGGCGCGAAGAAGGCCAAAAAGGCCAAGAGGGGCGACGCCGGGGAGAAGCCGAAGGCCGTTGGGGACGAATCGCCGATCGGGAGTCTGCTACTGAGATCCGACGCTGCGAAGCATGTACGACATCGTGACCCAGGCATGATCGCGTCGTTGAAAGGTCAGGGCGGCAGGTTTGTAGCTGTTTTCGGCCCCGGGGGCCCTCGCCGGGCGTCGGAACCGTCAGGAAGCGACTCAAGACGACAAGCCGGTCCCGGGGAGAGGGTCGGGGCTTCCAGGGGCCCAGACCCCCGACGTCGTGATTTTTTCGCAATTCGTCGACCCCCAGAGGTCTGGACCCCTTCCCCCGGACCGGTGCTTCGTCCTGAATCGTTTTTTGACGCTCCCGAGGCCCGGTGAGGGCCCCCGGAGGCCGAAACGATAGCGAAAAGCCTCCCGTCGTGATTTTTGTCACGACGCCATAGGAGGTCTGTGGGGGCGCCGCCCTGCAAAAGTCAGGACGTCGCATGCCTGGTGAAGACTCGCACCGGGGCCCCGAGTTGATCCTGGCTGTCTCTCTGCTGCAGAGCTCCGAGCCCGGGCCCGAGCCCGGGCGAGGAGGCCCGGCGTCCGACAGAGGCGGCGCGCCTGCGCCTCACGGGCGTCGCGGGGAGGCAGCCTGCGAAGGCCGTCGGCCGCAAGCGAAGGCCCCCGAGCTGGGGCGCGGCTGCGGCCTCGATCCCCAGACATGCGACGTCCCCAGACCCCCTCGAGTAATGAAGAAATCACGACGGGAGGTTTTTCCTAATTTTCGGCCTCCGGGGGCCCTCACCGGGCCTCGGGAGCGTCAAAAAACGACTCAGGATGCAAAGCCGGTCCAGGGGAATGGGTCGAGACCTCCAGGGGTCGACGTAATGAAAAAATCATGACGTCGGGGGTCTGGGGACATGCGACGTCTCGATGTTTTCAGGACGGCGCCCCCGGAAGTCCCCGCCCTCTCCCCGGGACCGGCTGTTCGTGCCGAGCCGTGCTTCGACGGTCCCCGAGGCCTGGCGAGGGCCCCCCCCAGGCCGAAAATGGGCCAAAGCCTCCCGTCCTGATTTTTTCTTTTTGTTGGCGACGCGACCATGCCTGGGCTCCCCGAGCTGGGGCGCGGCTGCGGCCTCGATCTCCGCCCCGAGATCGCAGCCAGGTCCGCACGACGCGTGGCTGGGAGAGCGGCCATGGCGGGGCCCGGGCGGGCTGCGCGAGGTGCCGCAAGGCGGGCCTGTCCCTCTGCAGGAGGACGCTCCAAAAAATAGTCAAAACATACTTTTGGGGATGACTTTTCTGTGATTTTTGTATGTGTTTTTTAGCGAGGATTGTTGGTGGACCATTGTTCGATTGTCGCCCAGAGTCCGCCTGTAGGAGGACATGCCCGACCCAAAAGTAGCCAGGCGGGGTGGGTGCTGGTAGCCGCGACGACCGCAGAACTTTGGAAGTCCTCTCAGGGCCAACTCCCGGACCGACCCCAGCGGCCCGTCCTGGCCCGCTCCTCGTGCCGCCTCGAGAAGCTCCCGAAGGGCCGCATGGCGACGACAACGACGTCGAGCCACCCGTGAGCCCCCGGCCGCGACGTTGGGCGGCTCTTGCTGGCTGTGAAAAAAACCGAAGCCCGGGCCGTCATTACCCCTCCCCGTGGGCGGAGGCCGCCGAGGAGCCCGCGAAGGCCCCGAAGGCCGCGAAGGGCGCGAAGGCCGAGGAGAAGGCCGAGAAGGGCGCGAAGAAGAAGGACAAGAAGCCGGAGCGGGGCCGCTCCCGGAGCCCTGTCCCGGCGCAGGCCCCGCGGTCGCTCGGCGGTCCTTCGAAGGGCTGCACTCAGAGCAGGGCCGGTTGAGGTAAGACGGTGTAGTTCCCAGACCCCCTCGAGTAATGAAAAAATCACGACGGGAGGTTTTTCCTAATTTTCGGCCTACGGGGGCCCTCGCCGGGCCTCGGGAGCGTCAAAAAACGACTCAGGATGCAAAGCCGGTCATGGAGAAAGGGTCCAGACCTCTGGGGGTCGACGTAATGAAAAAATCATTACGTTGGGGGTCTGGGTAGTTGGGCTCCCAGACATGATCGCGTCGTAAATCAGCCACGCGCAGAGGGGGGTGAGGGGGAGGGGGGAGGGCTTCTTGGCAGCACCCCTGCTGCTTAGAAGGCGCGGGCCTTCTCCATAGACGTGAGGCCGAGGCCTTCTAAGAAGCAGGGTGCTTCTAAGAAGCCTTCCCCCCTCCCCCTACCCCCTTTTGCGCGACGCCAAGTAAACAAATCAGGACGCGAGGTTTTGGCTTATGTTCGGCCCGGGGGGGGGGCTCGCCGGTCCTCGGGTCCGTAGCAAAAAAACGACTCAGTACGAAGAACCGGTCCCTGGGAGAGGGTCGGGACTTCCAGGGACGCCGTCCTGGCAAAAATCAGGACGTCGCATGTCTGGGTGGACTTCGAAGTGCCCCCCTTGGTCGCCGCAGTGGGAGGCAGCTCGCACCGTCTGTGCGCGTGGACCCTGGTGGGGGGGGGTCTGGGGGTCCACTTTGAGCTGCCGTGGTCCCAATTCGCCCTGCTCTGAAGTCGGGCGTGTCCCTCTACAAGAGGAGTATTCAAAAATAGTTGAAAAAAATTAGTCGGGGGACTATTTTTTATAGTATGTTTGAACATTGTTTCATCATGGTTCGAACATCTTCCATTTGTCGTCCAAAATCCGCCTGTACGAGGACACGCCCGACCTAACCCTGCTCCGACCTACGGGGGTCCACAGAGAGGCAGCTACGCGCCACTGCGACCCCCTGCCGAAGGGCGCTCCAGGGCCCCCGGGAGGGTGTGCTTCGAGCCCCGCCCCCCGCGCCGCGCAAGCTGCGTCGTGACAAAAGTTTGCTTGACGTCCCTGGCTCTCAAGCCTCTTGGATGCCTCTCGGAGTCTGTTCGGTTTCCTTCCCAGACCCCCTCGAGTAATGAAAAAATCACGACGGGAGGTTTTTCCTAATTTTCGGCCTCCGGGGGCCCTCACCGGGCCTCGGGAGCGTCAAAAAACGACTCAGGATGCAAAGCCGGTCATTGGGAAAGGGTCGGGACCTCTGGGGGTCGACGTAATGAAAAAATCATTACGTCGGGGGTCTGGGTTCCGAGAGCTTTTTGGAGTCCTCTTCGGGTGCCTTGGGAGCCTCGTGGCAGTTCCGAGGGCCTTTTTGGGGCGTATTGGGTGCCTCTGGGGAGCTCTTGGGGGTCTCTTGGGAGCGTCTTGGGGGCATCTTGGGGCCCTCTTGGGAGTCTTTTGGGGCCTCCTGGGCACCTCTTGGGGCTCTCTTGGGGCACCCTTGGGGGCCTCAGGGGGCCTCAGGGGCATCCTGGGGCCATCCGGGAGGAGACCGACCAAGGGGGCTCCGTAGATAGGCCCCCCCCCCCCACCCCAGGAGGCCAACATGTACCCAAAACCTTAGTAATATCAGTGATGTATGTTGGCTCTCTCGCCGATGCCTCTTGAGACGTCTTGTGTGTCTCCGGAGGGCTTCTTGGGGCCTCCTGTGGGTTCCCTGGGATCTTCTTGGGGGCATCTTGGGAGCCCCTTGGGGGCCTGTTGGGGCCTCCGGAGCAACTAAAGGGGCCGTCTTGGGTCACCCTTGGGAGTCTCGGAGGCTATTTGGGGGCCATCTTGGAGGTGACCGGTCCAAGAAGTGGGAGGTCCCCATGTGGGGTCCCCTCCTGGAGGCCAACATGTGGCCGAAGCCTTAGCCAAGTCAATGAGTTTGGCCTTCTCGCCGAGGCCATCTTGGACGCTCCAACCACTCGCCGACGGCCTCGTCCAGGTCCAGGGGAGGGGTATTTAGAGGAGGGAGGGTCAAGACACCCTCCCCAGCCGCAAGCCGTCTCGCTCACTCCCACTCGCCCTCCCAACGCACAAGTAGCACCCGAGCCGCAGCGTGTCAGCGGCAGTCCCCAGACCCCCTCGAGTAATGAAAAAATCACGACGGGAGGTTTTTCCTAATTTTCGGCCTCCGGGGGCCCTCGCCGGGCCTCGGGAGCGTCAAAAAACGACTCAGGATGCAGAGCCGGTCATAGGGAAAGGGTCGGGACCTCTGGGGGTCGACGTAATGAAAAAATCATTACGTCGGGGGTCTGGGTCTTTGGAACGACAGCTACTGGGAACCAAGACCCCATGTGCGCAACGCTGGGGCGAGGTGCGGGCCGGGCACCCCTGGGGCCCAAGCGTGCCGGACACGCCTGCTGCGCCAGATGCGCCACGCGACCCAGATTCGCCACGTGTGTCGCCATGCGTGCCGCCTGCTCCAGCCGCGCCAGGTGCGCCATGTTCTGGGTCATTACGCGCAGAGTGTGCCAGATTCGCTTTGTGCGCATGGCAGTAGATGCACATCGGGACACGTGGGGGCGACACCCTTGTCGAAAACCGGTACGCAATCGCGGCGGGGTGTACACATAGCAGGCAATATGCCAGCGCCCCCGCCGTCCCAGTCAAAACGCAATGCACAGTGATCGCAGGGCGTCCGCGCGTGATCCAGATGTTGCCTCGAAGTGCATTTTGGGATGCTGGCCTTGCACACATCAGACAATATGTGGGTACCCCCGCCGCCCCTTTCGAAAAAGTACATTTGAGAAAACCCAAATCAGTAGATGATTTGAAAATTGATATTATGGATCTTGAGATCGATTGTGAGATCGGTAATGAGATCGATAGTGTAATCGATAGTGAGGACGATTGTAAGGTCGATCGTGAGACCGAGAGTGAAATCGATTCAATGAGATCGATAGTGAGATCGATCACGAGATCGCTCATGCGATCTCTAGTGAGATCGGTTGTGATATTGATAGTGAGATCGACTATGAGATCGATGGTGAGATCGATCGAGAAGTCGGTAATGAGATCGATGGTGAGACCGATCGATAAGAAAATCGACCAGGAACCCGGGAACCCGGGAACCTCGCCCGGGAACCCGGGAATTTCGCCGGCGCCCTCCGAAATCGGCCCGAAACCCTGAACCGGGAACCCGGGAACCCGGAAATGGGAACCTGGGAATCCGGGAACCCAGCGTGCGACCAAAATCGGCGGGACACTTTCGCCAAATCCTTCAATATCCGCGAGGACCCCTTCAGTGCAAACACGGATTGGGGAACATTGAATGAGACCCGTAATGAACTCGACAGTGAGATGGGTAGCGAGATCGATAATTAACCATCGGCCCGGAACCAATGATCAGGAACCCGGAAACCCGGAACCGGGAACCCAGGAACCAATGAGATCCGTAATGAACTCGATAGTGAGATCGGTGAACCATCGGCCCGGAACCAATGACCATGCAGGAACCCGGGAACCCGGGAACCCGGAACCGGCAACCCGGGAACCCAGCGTGCCACCCAAATCGGCGAGGTATTTTCGCCAACTCTAGCAACATCCGCGAGGACCCCTTCAGTGTAAGCACTGAGTGGGGACAATATGCGGGCACCCCCGCCGTCCCTTTCGAAAACAATGCGAATTGCTCGCGGCCTCCCCGACCATGACTCAGGATCTTGTTCAAAATGGACTTCACATTGTTTTATTGACAGGGGTGGTGGGCGGGGATGCACTCAGTGCCTGGTTGGCTACTGGTCGCCTGGGCGAGGGGTGTTTATTAAGAGGGAACAATGATAAACCCCTTCCCGAAGGGGAAAAAGGGGGATAGAAAAGGAAAGTACCTAGATTTTTCAAGCCCTAAAGGGCTGGCGGGAGTTCCCTGGAGATCCTTGGATTTACGTGGACTCACTTGGATTTGCCAAGGTTTACCTGGATCTACATTGCTTTATCCGCCTTGATCCCCATAAGTCGACTGACGACACAAAGTTGTCAAGCCTTCAGACACCCAGGAGGATCCAGACCGACCCACTCCGAGACCAGGAATCGGAGGCCAACGGTTGGACACCAACATCAGCGTCGGTTGCTGTCTCCAGAATCTGAGGTCATCTTCCCCCAGTGGGGGGCGGAGTGGCAGACCCCTGTGTTGTTGTTGTTGTTCTCGGCCCCCAAAAAATCGGGCGACGAGAACTATGCACACGCTCCAATCCTGGGCCCAGGCCCATCCGGGACCCAGGCCCAGCGGATGTGCCTCCTTGGTCGACCCAGGACGGCGCATGCACCAATCCTGGGCCCAGGATGGACCACGCCATAGCCGGTGCACACGCATACTTGTCCTTTTGCAGCCCAGACCCCCGACGTCTTGACTTTGACGCGACGTCGACCCGAGGTCGGGACCCTTTCCCCGGGGCTTCTCATCCTGAGCCGCTTCTGCTCACAGTCCCGACACCCGGGGCCCCCAGGAGGCCAAACGTGATGAACCACCTGCCGTCGTGATCTTTTCGCAGCGCGAGGGGTGCTGGGTCCCCAGACCCCCGACGTAATGATTTTTTCATGACGTCGACCCCCAAAGGTCCCGACCCTTTCCCTATGACCGGCTCTGCATCCTGAGTCGTTTTTTGACGCTCCCGAGGCCCGGTGAGGGCCCCCGGAGGCCGAAAATTAGGAAAAACCTCCCGTCGTGATTTTTTCATTACTCGAGGGGGTCTGGGTCTCCCGCAGCAAAGACAAGGCGACCAGGGCCCCCCAGTTCACCGCCGGGCTTATACGCCGCGTCGGCTCGGCGGGCGGCGTTGGCGTGGGCGCTCCAGGCTTAGTATAGGCAGCCGTGCCGGCCTGGGCCAGGCCGAGCCGCTGCGCGGGGCTTTCGGAGGAGGAGGAGGAGGAGGAGGAGGAGGAGGAGGAGGAGGAGGAGGAGGAGGAGGAGGAGGGAGGAGGGAGGAGGAGGAGGAGGAGGAGGAGGAGGAGGAGGAGGAGGGAGGAGGAGGAGGAGGAGGAGGAGGAGGAGGAGGAGGAGGAGGAGGAGGAGGCGGAACGATCTTGGCGGTGCCAGAGCCGAAGAATCAACGTGCCGAAGCAGAAACGCTCGACGGACTGCGCGGAGTTCTCGGCTCTGCGTTTGGCCCCCCTCGCCGGCGCTGGCGGCGCGGGGCCCGGCGCAGGTGCAAAACATCCGCGCGGGCCGTCGAGTGCTCATGTTCACCTCGTCTGCTCTTCCTCAACAGAAGCCAGCGTCCACGTCGGCACGACAGGAAGCATCCGTGCCGGCAGGCGTGATCGTGGCTGGGCCTCCAGGGGGTCGGTCTGCGGTTGTTCCACGGCCTGCTGTAGACGTATCGGACCAAGACATCGGCCTGCCAGCAGGTGCCCCAGGGAGAGGTCTCATCCCTCGATGGCCCCAGGGACCCGCAGAAGCTCTGGGGCACTTGTACAACATGAGAAAACCAGCGCGGATCCAAGAAATCCGCGCGGAGCGCCCAAAGTTTTTGTTTATGTGGTTTTTGCTCTTTCAACTTGGGGATCCTCCAAAACCGAGGAAGGAGTTGCCCCAATGCTCATCGCAAGCTTCCTTGTCGTATGTGTCTGCTGTGCGGAACCGGCGTGGCCCGTCGGGCGGCCGAGTCGACCGCGCTCCCAGGCCAAGAAGAAGAAGGGCAACCTCAAGAGGCAGCTCGGGGGGACACCAGCTGCACACCGATGCCGACCCCGCCAATGCTTCAGTCGGGCGCGTCCCTCTACAGGAGGAACATGCAAGAAGAGTCAACAAATAGTCTGGGAACGATTCTTCAGCTATTCCTGGCAATGTTCAACATTTTTGGTGATTTTTTGGGGTTCGTCCAAAATCCGCCTGTAGGAGGACATGCCCGACCTGAGCCCATGCCGGCCCTGGACCCTGGAGATCGGTGCCACGTGCTGTCCGGCCGGGGAGGCGCGTGCGGGTGCTGTCGCCGAAAGGCAGTTGCCCATCGGTCGTTGAAAGTACGTAGTTTTGAATTCCCATAGTTCTTCCCATCTACGTTGAGCGCCTTCCTACTTCAATTATCGAGTGGCTTCACCTTTTCCATCCTCCTTGGGGGTCGGACGGAACCCAATCTGCTTTTAACGCCTTCCTACTTCATGTTTCCACTTACTACTTCCGATCGATGGGTAACCCACCCGCGACTCGCCCGCGACCCACGACCCACCTGGGGCCCACCTGCGACCACCCCCACGACCCACCCGCGGCTCACCCCGCGGCCCACCCCGTGACCCACCTGCGACTCGCCCGCGACCCCCTTGCGGCCCACCCCCCGCGCCCGCCCCCCTCACTCTCCTCCGCAGCCGCGGGCCGCTTCAGTCTGATCCTCTGCTCGCCGTCTCCCGCCGCCGCCGCTGCGGACGCCTGGCGCCGCCGCTGGCCTTCGCGTGTACTGCAGCTGCACGCGGCTGCGGGTTCTAGGTGGAGTTCGGGGCGCGCCATCGGCCGGGCGGCTCCCTTCTCTGCACGTGCCCAGCAGTGCGCCTTCGCGCGACGGACTCAGATCTTCGCCGTGGCGAGCGCAACGATCCAGCCTGCGGAGCAGATAGACACATGGATGATCGCAGGACAGCACGATGCACCGATCATGACGTCAGGATAATCCGATCCTCTGGCAAGCAAGTGGTCGTGGGCAGAATTCTCTGGATCAGTCCCTGATAGCGACTTGGCCAATCAGCCACCTCGGGATATCCACTCTATGTTGCCAATCGACCTGCCTTTGATTCTCCTGCCGAGCGAAGATTCTCAAGCTTCCACCGCGTCGGGTAGGGCTGACTTAGTCAGTCCTAGCCCCGTCAGCGGACCTGGGAGAGGAGGCAGAAACACACGAGATATTGATGCCGATTGAGAACTATTCGCGTTCATCGAGTCGGGGATAAGTTCGTTGAATTCATTGTTCAAGTGAGAGTCGCGAAGGACAGAATGCGGGAGTCGAACGGGACGATGTGCCCATGGGTGGTTAAACCATTCCCTAGGTATGTCGTCACCTGTCGACTCAGATAGCAGAGAATACTGAAATCTTTCAGTTTCCGGTGGGCATGATGAGCCCTCGTGAGCCCGAGTTGCCAGAGCAGTCGAGGGATCCCACAGGAGAAACGGCGTTTCCGAAACGACCAAAGGGGCGATTCGACATTAGTATTCTGGCTTAGCCGGGAGTCCTGCAACGGTGTCTCATTACTTCATTGTTCGCGAAGTTGAAGGCGTGGATGGCGAATTCTTTCTTTGATTTGACGGGTTCAATCCATCAAAACCAAGCGTTGAAGAACATATTGGATTGCCGGGAGGGGAGAAAATGTACGAACCTTATATGGTACCCCCACCGCCCATTCCGTTGGGACGTGCAAAACTCGGGTCGCCCATGATAGGGCGCACTAGGTCGAGTAGTAGCTGTCACCTTAGCAGGCATTTTGGACAATCCTCATCTCGTAGAGTGTTGATCCTGGTGAGCTGCTTGGTCTGGGAACCTACCTGCCCAATGGCGGCGGAGAATATGTGCACCTGACCTGTGCACCTGGAAGAGCGGGAAAAGAGGACGGCCCTCGGCGTAGACCTGTATGCGGAGCGCGTTCTAACACGTGTTAGCAGTGTGGTGTCAGCTGGCTTTGTCCAGACAGCGTCGACATGCAAGAGCACAACTGTAAATAAATTTGTTGCCAGGCAGGAGAAAGAACAAGAAAAGGCAGCCGCGAGAGAAATATCCTGCAAAGAACAGGTGGGCGCTCATATGAAGATGCAATCAGGAAGGTCTGAGCGAGAGTAGAACGAACAGCTGGAACAGCTGCCAATGGACAAAGAACGCTAGAAGTTGATAACACACCTGGCCCACCTGAATCAGCAGGCGACCCCAGAGGCAGGCAAGCTGTTTCTGCAGGACGCCAAGCGCGATAGGAACGAGGCTAAGTCGCAGCTCGGTGGGCAATCGTGGAGGAAGCAAAGAATACGGCAGGAAATATGTCTGAAAAGGAAAGGCAGACGCAACGCGAATTGCAATTGGCCGTGGAGGCTGCATCAGTTACCGATCACCAGGCGACGGAAGTCTTTCACGAAAGGACGGCTCAAGCTGTTAACGCTGTGCAGCAAGAGATGGAGCGAGCAAGTGGTGCACTCCAGCAGGCGTCGCTTAGCGAGAAAGCTGCCACTGTGAAACGAGGAAACTCAGGACACTTTGCCTGGAGTCCATCTAGTCTGCCTCTGCCCACTTTCGAGAGCATGCACGATTCCAGCCGATATCAAAGTTTAGAGAACACGCGCGCCTCTACTATACGATGCCTCATGGTTATGCTCGGATGTGCGCGGTTTCAAGCCAAGCACGATTTTTGAAACACGTTTTTGGTGAGCTTCGCGCGAGGGTTCCCGTCGACGCTTAACATCCCCCCCGAGATAATCTGCATTACTTGTTGCGTTTTATTAATTCACCATCTTGTCCAACAGAAATCCGCGTTTGTTATTTTTTGCAGTGCTAAGATATCGCCAAGGTTTACTCGTATTTTTTCCAACTGCAACCACCAAGTTAAACTGCGTTTGGAGCGAGTCAGGGTCCCTGGAGACCAGCATGGTGAAGGTTGCGTACATCACGTCCTTCAGCGCCAAGGTATGGTTGGGTGTGCCTGAGTGGTTGCTCCGCGTCCAAACGTTTGCCTATAGTAGCAATGCGTAGTTACTTAATTGTCACAAACGAGTGTGGCGAAAGCGGGCACCCGCGTGCGATTCCAGCGGACTGAGCTCTTGCCGATGCCGTCGTGTCTGCGCCGTGGACGGCGCATGTGCGTACGTCGACGCCCCGACTCCGCCGGGCCGCGCAAGAGCTCACGGAAGCGTCGACGTGTGCACCGTTCGCAGCCACCCAGGGAGCGGCGCAGGAGGAGGCATGAAGAGGGGGGAGGAAAAGGATGGGGAGGAGACGAGAGGAGGTGGGGTCAGCAGTGCTTTATTATATGTTAAAATCGAGAACCCAACGCAGGAGGGCCAGGAAACTCATCGCCGGATGCCCGGAGGGCTAAACGCCCCTGGTGGTCCGGGACCGGCCGACATCGAGCGATCTGCGCGATCGGAGAGCCGCGATCGTTCAGGGTTTGGCGATCCGCGCGGTGTCAGAAACAGCGTGGGCACAGATGTTGTCGCAGGATGTTTTTTCGTCCTTCGCTTCATCGTCGTCGTCCTCCTCCTCCTCCTCCTCCTCCTCCTCCTCCTCCTCCGTGATCGTTCATACCGTTTCGCTCACGGCCCGCAGCGCAGTTGGCGTCACGACACGACGGCTGCCGCGCACACCGATCCCAGGATCCAGGGGTCTCGGAGGAGAAGCATGGATCGCCTCCACCCCCAGACAAGCGACGTCCTGATTTTTTCAGGACGGCGCCCCTGGAAGTCCCGACCCTTTCCCCGTGACGAGTTTTGTGTCCTGAGTCGTTTTGTCGACTGTCCCGAGGCCCAGCGAGGGCCCCCCGGGGCCGAAAGTAGCCCCACCCCAAACCTCGCGTCCTGATTTTTTACGACGCGAACATTCTGGACATGAACCGCCTCCACCGAGAACCCATCGGGGGGGGGACCGACCCTCGGGAGGTGGCGCGCCTGGTCTGAGCGTCACCCATCAAAGGACGAGGCTCAGGCGCGCCACCGCCCAGGGGTCGGCCCCCCCCCCCCGGTTGGGCTCTCTCGGCGGCGGTGGTCCTGGAGGCGGCCGGGGGGCCGGTCCTGGCAGGGCACCGAGGAAATCGATCCAGCTCTGCTCAGAGTCGGTCCCAGACTCAAATCCGGGCGAAGAGAACTATGCACATGCACCAATCCTAGCAAGGCCCATCCTTGACCCATGATCGGTGCATATGCCTTCCTGGCCAAGGTAGGAGGGCGTATGCACCGATCCTGGGCTCAGGATGGGCCTGGCCAGAATCGGTGTATGTGCATAGTTCTTTTTCCTCTACAAGTCGGGCCTGCCCCTCGAGAGGGGGAGTCTTCAAACATAGCCCCAAAAAGAGGCGGGGGATTTTCCGTGAGGGCTTCGTTCGCCCCATGCCGCCGGCCTCTTGTCTCGGAGAATGGGAGATGCAAAAGCTAGATCATGAGGTCTGGGCGCCGCCGTGAAGCAGCGTCGGGACCTGTTGTTTTTTCGACCCTGACCCTGCGGATCTGCGTGAGGGGTGCCGCCAAATTTCAGAAATGTAGCAAATCCTTTATGTTTTTGGGCCCTGACCCTACGGATCTGCGTGAGGGGTGCCGCGGAATTTCAGAAATGTGGCAACTCCCATGTGTTTTTGGACCCTGACCCTGCTGGAGGGGTGCCACCGAATTTTTGGAAATGTGGCAAATCTCTGTGGTTTTGGACCCTGACCCTGCCGATCTGCGTGAGAGGTGCCACCGAATTTCAGAAATGTAGCAAATCCTTTTTGTTTTTGGACCCTGACCCTACGGATCTGCGTGAGGGGTGCCACCGGATTGCAGAAATGTGGCAAATCCCCATGTGTGTTTGGACCCTGACCCCGCTGATCTGCGTGAGGGGTGCCACCAAGTGTCAGAAATGTAGCAAATCCCATGTGTTTTCAGACCCTGACCCCGCCGATCTGCGTGAGGGGTGCCAGCAAATTTCAGAAATGTGGCAAATCTCTGTGTTTTTGGACCCTGACCCTACCGGTCTGCGTGAGGGGTGCCACCGAATATCAGAACTGTGGCAAATCCCTTTTGTTTTTGGACCCTGACCCCCCGATCTGCGTGAGGGATGTGAATCTTGCCCACCCCAGCAATTCAAACAACACGCTCAGGGCGTTGTAAGAATGCCCGTTTGGGCCTCCCCCCTCGCGCGGTCCATCAACAAGGAACAGTAAGCAGCAAGAAGCAGAACTGTAACAGTAAAAACTTGAAGCTGCAGCTGGTACAGGAAACTGCGAACCTTCGGCCTACAGCCTGGTGGCCCCACAAGGGGGCCCAGCGGATTTTTTGATTATGTTTGAATTGTTTTGCAGATTTCTTCACTATGTTTTACTTTTCGTCCAGCATCCGCCTGTAGGGGGACAGGCGCGACCGAATCCTAGAGCCCATCTGGTGCAGCCCCAGAAAAGACGGCCCTCGGAGGCCGACACGGGCAAAAGCCTGCTGGAGCCCCGAGCTTCGAGCCTCGCCCGCCCCTCCTGCTTGCCGCAGACACTGCTCGGCCACCGCAGAGACCCCGCCGGCTCCAGGGGTGGCCCAGGCCTCCCCTCTGCGGGCCGGCCCCCGCAGGGGGGGACCCGCGCCCGCGGGGCGGCTCGGCCAGCGCTCCCCCCCCCCGCCAAGGAAGGAGAGCGGGAGCAGCGCCGCCGGCTCCACGGAGGAGTCGGCCCCCTCGCCGCCGCGGAAGAAGGCTCCGGGGCATCGGTCGGAGACAATCCCTGACGTGATCGCGCCGTAACAGAATCAGGACGGGGGACTTTGGGCTATTTTCAGCCCCGGGGGGCCCTCGCCGGGCCTCGGGACTGTCCCAAATCGACTCGGGACGAAAAACCAGTCCTGGGGAACGGGTCGGGACTTCCAGGGGCGCCGTCCTGAACAATTCAGCACGCATGTCTGGGTTCGGACAATTGCTTTCCCTGGCGATAGCGGCCGCGAGAGGGGGAGAGAGGGGGGGGGGAGGGGGCCGGTCACGTCACGATTCGCGCCGTCCCTGGAACGCTTAGGCATCCCTGCTTCGCCTAGGGATCGTGACATGACCAGGGAGGGTTGGAATTCACTGCCCCTCTGGTCTGAGGCAGTTGCATAGGAGGGGGAACAGAGGACAGAGTGTTTACGCATTTTGGTCCCTCCCCCCCCCCTCCCTGGGAGGGGGGGGGGACCCTGGCGGGAGGGGCGGGCCAGGCACACGGGCTTTCTCGCGAGTCATGAAAATTATCCCGGCAAAGCAACCTAACAGCGATGTGTAGAAGCATATCTGAAAGCATTCCCCTTAAGATTCAGATGAAAATCCAGTTGTCGAAATCTGCTGTTCTCGCAGTCGTAGTCGCATTCGCGATGACAGTCGCAGCGGCAACGGCAGTCGCAGTCACAGCCTCAGCCTCAGCCTGCCTCAGCCTCAGCCTCAGCCTGCCTCAGCCTCAGCCTGCCTCAGCCTCAGCCTCAGCCTGCTTCAGCCTCAGCCTCAGTCTGCCTTCAGCCTCGGCCTCAGCCTCAGCCTGCCTCAGCCTCAGCCTGCATCAGCCTCAGCCTCAGCCTCAGCCTGCCTCAGCATCAGCCTGCTTCAGCCTCAGCCTCAGCCTGCCTCAGCCTCAGCCTCAGTCTGCTTCAGCCTCAGCCTCAGTCTGCCTTCAGCCTCGGCCTCAGCCTCAGCCTGCCTCAGCCTCAGCCTGCCTCGGCCGCAGCATCAGCCTGCCTCAGCATTCAAAATGTGGCCCAGGAATGGAGTTCTGGGAACTAGAAGAACACGAAGTGGCCTACAGTTGGCTCCGGGCATTCAAAATCATGTCCAGGAATGGAGTTCTGGGAACTTGAAGAGCACGAGGTGGCCTACAGTTGGCTCCGGGCATCCAAAATGTGGCCCGGGAATGGAGTTCTGGGAAATCGAAGAGCACGAAGTAGCCTACAGTTGGCTCCGGGCATCCAAAATGTGGCCCGGGAATGGAGTTCTGGGAAGTCGAAGAGCACGAAGTGGCCTACAGTTGGCTCTGGGCATCCAAAATGTGGCCCGGGAGTGGAGTTCTGGGAGCACCAAGAGCGATTTTGCGAGGACGTCCCAAGCGATTTCGGCTTCGGCGGCAGCCTTCCCGGGTCCCGCCCAGACCCCCCTGAGGAGTCATGATGCTCTCTCTTTTGAGACCACTAGAAACCTATCGGCAAGAGCTGTTAGGTAAAAACACTGTTGTGTGGGGGGGGGCATGGGCTGAAAGAGGGAGGGCTCGAGGCTTCGAGGCTCGAGGCTTTCGGGCATCTGCGTCGGTTCTCGTCTGCCCTTCCAGCCCCGGGATGCCTTCCAGCAGCTGCGCCTCGCCGAGAGCGTTTTGGGGATGCCCAGATCGTCCCGAATGGCCGCCAGGGAGCCGAGGTATGGCCCGAAGCACGGAAGACGAGGATCATCGGGGGATAACGCTCGATGGGGGGTGCCTCGAGCCTTGATGGCCCATGCATCGCCGAGCGGGGTCCCGATAGGCCAACCTCCGCCATGGACCGTGGGCATTCGTTATCGGGGCCCATCGCCGCCCTGTAGCCTATCGGCGATGTATCGCCAATTCCAGCTCGATGGTTCCCGCCCCGGGGAGGAGGACGGGGAGTGCTTGAGGAGGGAGGGGGAGGAGGAGGAGGAGGAGGAGGAGGAGGAGGAGGAAAGGAGGAGGGGGAGGAGGGAGGAGGAGGGAGGAGGGAGGGGGAGGAGGAGGAGGAGGAGGAGGAGGAGGAGGAGGAGGAGGAGGAATCCCAGCCTCTCGGGCTTGTCGTTGTCTCTCCCCCTCCTCCTCGAGCCTATCCCCATGCTAGCGCTGCCCCCTTCAAAGGCGAAGAAGCCCTCCCCGCCGCGGAAGAAGGCGGCCCCGCGGAGGACCTCGGCCCCTCGACGCGATGGCAGGGGAGTGCTCTCTCTCTCTCTCTCTCTTTCTCGTTGCGTCCTTCGTCTCTCTCTCTTTCTTTCTTTCTTTCTCTCTTTATTTCTCTCTCTATTTCTCTCTCTCTCTCTCTTTCTTTCTCTCTTTCTTTCTCTCTTTCTCTTTCTTTCTCTCTTTCTCTCTTTCTTTCTCTCTTTCTCTTTCTTTCTCTCTTTCTCTCTCTCTCTCTCTCTTTCTTTCTCTCTTTCTCGTTGCGTCCTTCGTCTCTGTCCCTAGGAGGGCTCAGGGAAGGATCGTAGCGGCGAAGACGACGACGACGAAGACGACTCAAGCTGGAAAGCTCTTCGCACACGCTGACAGGATCGACGGATTCTAGAGGCGCGAAGCCTTCGTGCCTCGCGTGTGGGAGGAGGAGGAGGAGGAGGAGGAGGAGGAGGAGGAGGAGGAGGAGGAGGAGGAGGAGGAGGAGGAGAGGGATCGGGGAGGAAGAAGCGTTGTTGGTGGCGATGACGACGACGGCGATCCAGCCATAAAAGAGGCCTCTGCGGTGCCGGACCGTTTCGTTCTGAGATGTTCTCGCGAGACCATGCTGGAGCCTTCTGGGGGCCATCTGGTCTCCTCCTCGTCATCTGTGGCCGTGCGTCACACCACCCACCAAACCGCCCCAACCCAGCCCGAAGGCCTCCATTGGCCCTCCATTTCCAGCAGGGGGGGGTCGGGGAACGTTGAAAAAACACATGGAACCCGTACACCTTAGGCGATGCTTAAGAAAACTTAAATTTTCGGCCAGGGTCTCGTTTATTCTTAATGTTTCAATGTAAATCCTAATATTTTAATAAAGATGTTGGGTTTTTATTCAAGTTCTGAGACTATGAATTTCTTAACCCATGATTTCTAAAACATTTCGCAGGGTGTACCCCCCCCAACCCGAAATTCGGGTCGAATTCGGGTCTTCGGGTTGGGTCGGGGTGGTCTGGTAGGTCGTCAGAATCAGTTCCAGAGCGTTCCGGAACGTGTTCCCGAACGCTCAT